GGAAAAAAAAGAAGGAAAAAGAAAAGAAAAATGTGAGATCTTTGTCAAGAATCAGGCAATACTTTATAGTGAAACAGGCAAGTAGAGGTGATACAGTTGTATATTCTGCTTGTTAATTAAATGTAGTTCTTAGTTCATAAGGACAGGGCTTGAATCATGAATGAGAATCAAGAAACAATAGCTACAGAAAAAAGGTGAGCTTCATGGCATATAAATGAAAATTGTTGGAATAGAATACCTTCAAAATGTAAGAGGAGTATCCCAAGTTGTGCAATCCAAGGCCAGGCATTTACTATCTCTTTTTCCCAAAATTTCACAAAAATTACAAATTCTTGACCCTGGGTGCTAGGGCAACCTAACCTACTAATATTATATTTTACTTGAATCTCAATAACTCTTGTGAAAGAAAGAAGGGTTGTTATTTTTTTTTCTTTCTTCACCTTCCAGCAATAGAAGTTTTCAAAAATATTTGCTACAAGAAAAGCATTCTGTTTTTATCTATTTTTCTTCTTCCTCAACATATTCACAGGAGATTTTTGCAGGAAGAGAGAATTAAAATGTCTCTGGAGAGAGATAGTAGTGATGAGGACATTCCCAAGTTAAGTTGAATAATTTTAATTAGNCTCTGGAGAGAGATAGTAGTGATGAGGACATTCCCAAGTTAAGTTGAATAATTTTAATTAGATATCCTTCAGAAAGATTCTTTTTTTAAACAGGAAATATTAGAGAGGTGTATAATGCAAATAACAGTGAGGAAATAACAACCTTAGAATTGTTTTGGATTTTATATTGTCAGTATTATTTTATTTTAACCTAAAATAAATGTCCAAAAGATAATGAGATCCAATTACATGTAAACATGTGAAGAAGCAGAAAATAGCATAAGGAAAGGGCCACAAAGATATAAAATGTGCTATTCAAATGTTTTATTTGTTAATAGAAAAATTAGTACCTATTTTTTAGGCCAAATATAGTTGTAGATAGGTACATCATGAAGATACAATAACAGTTGAGAAAGTATAATTTAAACATAAGATTCATGAAACTGATTATCTGCAGAACTTAAGTGTTATTTCTTTCACATTAGAAAATAAGCAAGTAAAGTTTATGTACAATACTATTATATTTTTCTAATTTTCTCTACTAAATAATTTGTGTTCTGGTCCCTTATTTTCAGCTACTGAACTGTTTGATTCTCATTTTTTTCCTCCTTCTCACAGTGTGTTTTTTAATGGATGTTGGATTCAAAATATTTTCAGCCTTAGAATCATGTTTGTTCATTAACAACCAACATCAAAATTTCAATGGCTTAAAACAAAATTATTTCTCTTTCCCAGCACATGTCAAATGTGGATTGACTAAAGATTGTGCCACATCTTGCTCCATCCCAGACCCAGGTTAAAATAATTTAAATACCATCAGTAACTGCTAGGAAGAAAATAAGGTGGAAAATGAAGTAGAAGCTATTGTATATTTCTATTTGTAAGTACTTAAATTACTGGTTCAAAGTAGTCAAATAAACATATCTATAATAATGAATATAAAGAAAGAAGATCATGGCAAATGTTGGAATGGAAAATATACTAATATTCATTACCTTTCAGCTCTAAACCCAGCATTTAATACTTAGCTCTGTGATGTTGGGGATCACGCACTGAAAACTGCATTACCCCAGTCTTCTTTGCCATCAGCTTTCCTGATAGAACTGACAATAAGAGTTACTATAACAAAATTAGGACGTGGGAAAGAATAAGGCATTATTAAGTTTGGCCTGAAGGTTTCTTCAGGTATAGTGAACTATAATCTAACTTGTGTAAACAGACTGTAACCTACTCTTGTAACCTAACTTGATGTGCAAACAGAGTATAAATTACTTTTGTAATAAGTAGCCAAGACTCAGCCAAAGTACAGGCAGCAACTGCTCAAACGATGTTCAAATAAGGCAAACAGCCAGCTGTAACCAATCCAGCTGTTTCTGTACCTAGCTTCTGTTTTCTGTGTGTCACTTTCCCTTTTTCTGTCTGTAAATCTTAGCTGACCATGTGGCAGCCCCAGAGTCACTCTGAACCTATTCTGGCTGGCAGCGGATTTGTGAATTGTTTTTTGTTTAATTAAATGCTGTTAAATTTAATTTGTCTAAAGTGTTTTTTTTTTTTTTTTTCTCACTGAGTTTCTTGATTCATTGGGTTGATATCTTTTAGTACATGAGAAAATTGCTTTTTCCCTGTGTTCTTGCTTCTCTTCTGAGATGTCAATTTACATATATATTAGAATTTTTTACTGTGTTCCACATGCATCTTATCTCCATTTTCTTATTCTTTTATTTTGAA